ATAAAAGAAATCTGAGGAAGCAAAGGTGTTCATTTCTAGCATAGGAAGGTTCTTGATAATTTGAATTTGATAAGAGGTTAAAGTGCAAGGGAGAACAAGGGCCTCAGCAAAATTTTAAACTCCGATGACAGCCCAATTCGGTTTCCCGAGTTGTACCAGTCTGTAGCCGCTAAAAATGCTCGCCACACTTTTTGGATATCGGTTACAGGCTGGTTACGAGTCTAGGTGGTAGTGCTAAGCGTACTTACATTACAATATAATAAGAATGCGGATTATGAGAGCTTGTGAAATAAGGAACGTTCATGTCTATGTAGGAGGGCCTCATCCTCTCCTCGAACTTTCTCTGTTATATCAATCTGAGTCCCATTCATCCACTATTCGTTCATTGTCAGTTCATTTCAGGCTCCTTATATATTCATCCAGAAGTTGTTGTTGACTTTTGAAACTTGGTCGAGCTTCTGTATGTATAGTATTCCAGATTCTTGGTCCGCACTGCGCTCCGAGTATTCTTCTGCTGACGATCAATGGGATACGATTATCACAGCCGTACAATGGCCCAGGGAGAGTCTCATACCGGCTTGTACATGTTCTCCTTTGGTAGTCAAAGCTGTAGGAAATTAGGCTAGTCATGAGGCAAAGTCGAACCACCATGTTCCGCTTTTGACTTGCTGATTCGCCGTGGTGCACGGATAGATTTCCGCACAAAGATCTGTGCGATAGATTGCGGGGCACAACGAAGGCGACGCAACAATGCAACTCGAACCCAACTCAGTGAAACCCACCACCAACTTCCAAATCCCGTGGCTCAGAACAGCGAAGTGGTTGACCCCTCTCTCAAACGGATTCGATCCATGACGGTGGTATGTTACTATCAGTGTAATCAGACTCAAGGCTGACGCTGGGGAACTACTACTTTCGGCAATTTGATAGGATTCGACATTTGCGTGTGCAATGAATATATACATATATCTCGTGAGCAGGTTCCTCGAAGTACATTGAGTGCGAGAAAGGAAACCGAAAGATCTCAATCGATTAAGTCCGAGTCTTCAAGCCAGCAGCACAAGGCTAAAAAGGAGGCAAGGACAGTAAGCGGGGTGTTTCGGCGGGTGCGGCAGGACATGCCTGGTTCGATTTCGCCGCGTCGCCTTCTCGCAACAAAGTTCTCTGCGTGGCCCCCAAAGTCCCTCCCTCCCTTTGCGCTGAGCTTCCAATCCTCCATGCACTCGAAGGAAAGCGGCATCACAACGAAGCGCGGGTCATCGATCGGCAAGTGTATTTTAATGTATAGCTCCCGCGGCCGACTAGGGAACATGGTGACCAGCACGCGGAGTCTGCTGCAATTTTCCAGGTTGGAAGAGATGAGGCCCAGACTATAGTAATGGGATAGACAGAGATGTGTGAGAGCAGGGAGTTCGCCGAAATTTAGTTCTGGAGGGCGATTGAGGAGGCGAAGATGAGTGAGTGCGCGGAAGAGGGGACGGGCTGAATCGATCGCCGTAATACAAAAAAGTCCTTGAAGGTCGACGGTCAACTGCCGTAGTTTCATCTTCTCGAGTGCAGGGAGCATTGTGAGATGGGGCTCGAATAACATGAGCTTCCGGATGCCACTGCAAGAAGAAAGAACGCGCAGTGCGAAATCGGCACAAGGGCGAGCGGCCCATATGAGCATGTTCTGCACATATTTTGCCAATTTGGCGGATTCCGGACAGAAAGCTGCTGGGTCCCGCGAGGATTCGTGGTCTATGAAAACAAGGGTCCGGTACAACAGAGGCTCGATCCTGAGTAAGGGATTAGAAGAGGTAGTTTGTTGGTGTCGAGATAATGCACTACCATTGAAGGACGCGCTGCGCAACTAGAAGGAGCGCGGGGATCGTTTCCGGATAACGGTTTGCAGCCATTTCGAAGATTTCTCGCTCAAAATCCAGGGGGAGTGGGAGAGATATACCGGAGTCCATGGTACGAGAACTAATGGGATCCCACGTGTCGCTGCAGATTCGATAAGGTAAAGCAATGGTGGTAATGGGAAGAAAAGAGATGATGCCATCAGCTGCTGACTCACTGTAACCAATCTTGTCGTCTCTACTCACAGCCGACTCGCACTCAAGCTATTTCAGGGCTGAATTTCCCATTAAACAGACATACAACCTGCCTCCCAACCTTTGACCATGTCCCACCCGTGCCCATCGATTCCGTTGGAGCTTGAGCGGGAAATATTCGAGATTGCGGCGACCCATCACCCCGAAACGATGCCCACTCTCCTGCTAGTTGCTCAGCGCGTCCTTCAATGGTATGGGATTATTTTATTAGCAAGGAACTTTATAATTTATATTCTGCATCCAGGATCGAGCCTCTTTTGTATCGTACTCTTGTTGTGGGTGGCCGAACTCTTGTTCTAGGTAGAATCACTGCCCGGCGGCTGGATCCCGCCAATCTTCTTCATCTACAACCCGCCAAATGGAAACATGTCCAGCATCTACTGGCGTTGGATTCCCACAGCGATCTCTTACCCGTTCTTCCCCTTTGTGTCCGTTTCGAAAGGCTCGGATTACGCAGTGAAGATCCATCGATGCTCACTGCCCTCGAAGCTATGCCGCTGGCATTGCAGCACTTGGCGTTCATCAAATGCTCCACTCTTGATGCCATCGATCCTAGTCGCCCTCTGTACCGGACGCTCACCCATCTCGACATGTTCGCAGGGACTGAAGGACGACCCCTCGATTTCCAGTTCGCTCAATTGCCCGCCCTTGCACACCTGGGCATGCACGGCGACCGATCCGCCGTTTTTTTTCGACCTTCTCCAGAGCTGCCCCAGGCTTCATGTTTTGGTCAGCAAGATTTGGTTCTGGAGTTCCTGGAACAGGATGCAGGCGCACCAGCCAATCGATGTCGACCTGCGCTTCGTGATGATGTTCACCCAAGCCGGCCTACATAATTCCGTACAGGACTGGGCACTGGGCGCGCAGGGCGGGAAAGATTTTTGGGCTCGTGCCGAGCTCTTTATTGATAAACGCAGACGAGGGGAAATTATTCCTCCCCCGCCCTCACCGCGTTCGATCCTGATGTTTATTCCTGCTAGCCTCACGATTCTGGATTGAAGAATCGGACCAGATTTGACGAGCTGCCGAAATCGTAAGAAGTGAGAAAATGGTACTGGCTGGCTTCTGACGTAGACGCTTCCAGTTGGTTGATGATGTAGAGTTGCACTTGTGAACGCTGTCTTCCACAGAGCGTGGCGTGCTTACGCCAGAAGGATCAGTTAGAACGGAGTCCGCGCAGCGCCATGCTTTGCAGGATTGCGGGATAGCATTGTTGTCAAGCGGAACGCTCGGTTGCATCTTGAATAAGTTGGAAACTGTCGGCAGGTAGGTAGGTATGTAGTAGTACCGGCGCGGTCCCATTAAGGAACAACTGCAAATACGAAAGCGAGGATATCATACAACAATTTGGTACAAAGAATTACAGGATCTTGATAAACTCGAGCACACTCTTGGGGCCATATAGCAGAAGAAGTAGTCAGCGCGTCAACACGAGAAAAACAAGTTCCGCAACCCTGACCGGGATGTTCTTGTCGACGAGCTTGCCGCTCTTCTCCAAGATAAAATGGCTGCGCTTGGTCTTGCCGCCGTCCGCACCCTGAGCACTGATAGGCACCCGTTTGCGGTCCGAAGGCAGCGGGTACGGCGGCTCCTTCTGCAGAAGGGTCAGGAAACTGGGATCGGCGGATAGCAGGAACTGCCCCGCCTGCTAACCTTGGCCTGTCATTTCGTCTGAGCTGCAGGCGTGTCTGCGCTGACAGCACACATTATAATCCAAGCCCGTGAGATCGCGGTAAATATCCCGGAAGCCACACGCCTGGTTCTTGCACCCCTGCCCTGGTAAGTAGCAATCCTTCATATGTAAAAAGAAGGATCTTGGGTAGGAGATGGCGGTTAGAATCCTCCTCAGGGCATGTGTGATTGTTGAATCACCTTTTCTACGGAGATGTAATTTCAAGTTTATTCGCTGGTTCACTTCTAGCTCTCAGCAGCTTCGATAACATATCCTGGTTCGTTGGGAATAAAGCCATGGTTGATTAATGGCCACAACTCATTATGCCTCTTGGGATAAACGAGTATTCATGTGGGAGCGGTGGTTCGATTCCTCTTAATGGCATATAAAACTGATACTCGACTTTTTTATTTTTTTTATTTAATGTAGGCTCGAGATGCCGAGTTCTATTCAGACTACTCGATTTGTGAATCATTCTCAAACACTTAAATTTCTGAGCCGGTGGAGATTGAGAGCATTCATAAGTGCGCCTCCGCCAGATTTATAGACTCTCGTTTCGGGGGCCCCATTTGAAAAGTGTGCAGGTATATCCTGGTTCGTTGGAAGGGTTCAAAGCCCTGGTTGATTAATGGAAATCACCCACCATCCTTCACATCCATTCTTGGCTCGTTGCATTGACGGGGGAGACGGAGGTTCGAGTCCTCCCCAGGGCATTACTCGTTATGGTCTAATCCTTTTTTAGTTTTTACAAAATGATTGAGATTCAAAGAATCTGCTGCACGTCTGTATTATGCGCTTGGAGATAGGCTATAATCTTGTTTAATTCATTATTGCTTTCAGCGAACCTTACTGAACAGGCGGATATTTGAAGGTTCTTTTCGGGCTTTGAAAAATTAAGTGCAAGTGTATATAAGTTCATTGGAAGGGTAAAAAGCTCTGGTTGATTAATGGAAATCACCGACAGACCATCCGAAGTGGCGTTGCTCGAGCATTATTAATGTGGGAGACGGAGGTTCGAATCCTCTCCGGGGCATGGGAAGAGGTAAAGGTCTTACTTTCTCTAAAGCTTCGAATTGAATTCAAAGGAGTTGTAGCATGAGCAGGACCTCGGTAATACATCCTCCCGAAATAAATCTTGAATTTTAATACACAGGAGAAATTTATTCAGTGGAACAGCCTTCTGGCAGCTGAAAACAGGTGCGGTGTATACAGACTCCTTGGAATGGTATAAAGCCCTGATTGATTAATGGCAAATCACCCACACCCTTTAGCTTTCTGGCGATTTGATGTGGGAGATGGAGGTTCGAATCCTCCCTGGGGCATTGTGCACAATGAGTAGGATTTTTTTCCGGTTTGGTTTAGATTCGGGATATTTATGTGCTCATATACTTGAACCGATAGATTCCCAGTGAATCTATTGTCGCTCTTGTTTTCGCTTGCAGTCTGTGGATGTCAAGGCGGGTAACCTTGAAAAAAATGTGCTGGTATGTCCAAGTCCATTTGAAAAGGTATAAAGCCCTGGTTGATTAATGGAAATCACCCACACCCCTTGAACGCGATTGCTGGAGCGAATTGAGGTGGGAGACGGGGTTTCGAATCCTCCCAAGGCATGAAGGGATAGAAAATAGTTCCCTTTTTAAAAACATGGAGATTCAAAGAAACTGCATCTTGGACAGATCCTTGCGGTGTTCAAATATTTTTATACTCTGCAAAGATGTCTTGCGCTCCGCGAAGGCTATTTACTGTTGCTCATACTGTTGATTGAGGAAATTCATGCAGTGGGATAGGTTGGAAGATGTGCAGGTATATCCAGGTTCATTTGAAGGGTATAAAGCCCTGGTTGATTCATGGAAATCACCCACATCCCATGCGGTTTGATCCGGGGGATTGATGCGGGAGACGGAGGCTCGAATCCTCCCCAGGGCATGATAAAGCATCGCCATTTTTTTTTTTTTGGTTTGAAGTAGGTCCGAGATACCAGTACTGCTCTGCTTTCATCTGGAGGAGGAAGAGGAGGAGGAGGAGGAGGAGGAGGATGTATTACTGGGTACGCTATGCAAACAGATCCGCGCCGATTTACTGTCGCGTTCAGGCACTTGTACATGCCGTGGATTGAAGGAATTCATTCTGTGGAACGGTTGGAAAATGTGCTGGTATATCCAGGTTCGTTGGAAGGGTATAAAGCCCTGGTTTATTAATGGCAAATCACCCACATCCCTTAAGACCTGACAACTAGGACGGATTGATGGTTCGAATCCCCCTCAGGGCATGCGTCGCTCAATCTCTCTTTTTACAAAGCTTGGTTGATTCTACTGCATGTATGTATATATCTGCATTATGCTTTTGGGCAGACGAAATTCTTGTTGAAGTTCGTCCCTTTCAGAAAGCCTTTGACGATGCGATGCAGTACCAACCTGCTTGCTTCCAGTCTGCGAATGTAAATCCCATCTTTCGAATGCCCCAAAAATGTGCAGGTATATCCGGTTCCATTTGAGGGGTATAAAGCCCCGGTTGATTAATGGAAATCACCCACAGACCATGGGAAGCAATGCTGCTTGAGCATTATTAATGTGGGAGACGGATGTTCGAATCCTCCCCGGGGCATGGGAAGAGGTAGAGGTCTTACTTTTTCTAAAGCTTCGAGTTGAATTCAAAGGAGTTGTAGCATGAGCAGGACTTCGGTAATACATCCTCCCGAAATAATTCTCGAAATTTAATACACAGGAGAAATTTATTCAGAGGAACAGCCTTCTGGAAATTGAAAACAAGTCCCCGTGTATACAGGCTCCTTGGAATGGTATAAAGCCCTGGTTGATTAATGACAAATCACCCACACCTCTTACGCGAAGTTGATGTATGGATTGATATGGGAGACGGAGGTTCGAATCCTCCCCAGGGCATGGAGCCGTCCGACCTCTTTTTACCAAAAATTGGTTAGACTCAAACCAGTTGCAAGTTTTCACAGAGGAGGATAGATTCTCTTTGAAGTCTTGAATTGGATTCCACATGTGAAAGTTTTATTCACTGGCCAAGTCGGTTCTCGAAAAATGTGCAGGTATATCCAGGCTCCTTGGAATGGTATAAAGCCCAGGTTGATTAACGGAAATCACCCACACCTCTTGGCTATAGAAGTGCTCACTACGTCGATTGATGTGGGAGCCGGAGGTTCGAATCCTCCCTGGGGCATTGAGTGGCAAGAAGGGTTTTTCTTTTTGAAAAAGAAGGTTGAGATTCAAAGAACCTGCTGCACGTCTGCATTATGCGCTTAGGAACAGATTAGTACAATCTTGTTGAATTTTGTTATTGTTTTCAACGAATATTACTGAACAGGCGGACATTTGAAGGTTCTTTTCGGGCTTTGAAAATGTGCTGGTATATGCAGGTTCGTTGGAAGGGTATAAGGCCCTGGTTGATTAATAGAAATCGCCCCAATCCATGACCCGTTTTCGAGAATTGATGTGGGAGACGGAGGTTCGAATCCTTCCTAGGGCATTCGCAATTCCGGCATAATTTTTTTTTTTTTTCGTTTAGTTTAGGTTCGAGATACCAATACTGCTTACGCCTGCTATGTGTATCTGGCGATGTAGACAGATCTGCGCTGATTTACTGCGTTCACGCGATAGACTGTTGATGAAGAAAATTCATGCTGTGGGACAGGATACAAACGTGCAGGTATATCCTGGTTTGTTGGAAAGGTATAAAGCCCTGGTTGATTAATGGAAATCACCCACACCCCTTTCTTGAGATGGTTGCACAAGTGGATTGATGCGGGAGACGGAGGTTCGAATCCTCCCAAATTCTGAAGACAGTGACCAGGTGAAGTGCCTGCATAGAGTGCCATGCCATATTACTTTAAAGACTTCCAAGGACGTCTGGACCTTAATGAGCCGAAATGTCAGATGACGTCACAGCCACCAGTTGATCCGCACATAATGCGAGCGTGAAAGCCGTTCACGCGGCCAAAATCATGGCAATCAACGTCTCTCGGCAAGCGTTACTGCTGTGCTAGGTGTAACGGGCACGGGACTCCGAAAGGGGAAAGGAGCAGGAATCTCTGGAAAGGAAAAGAGAATAAAGAAAGAGGGAGTCTCAAGTGAGAAGAGGGATCCCGAAATTGGTGTTGATTCGACAAAGAGAACTACGACGAACCAAGAACTATATAAGTACAAGAGTATCGGAGTATGAGTAATCTAATAATATGAACTATGATAAATCTGAATAAATATGATGAGATTCATAAATAATGTCGTAAAAATGCGGAGAGTTCGGAGTGTATCGTAAATATAACTAGTACATGTAAGGGGCATGTCCGGAATATTCCATGACCCTTAAACTAGGCTGGGTACCCGTTCAATGCTCGCGAACCACCTATCAGACACCTGTTGATGCCGATTGTATTGGAGAGATTTTTATCAAAGGATAAAAATCTCGCTAACAGCGACCACACTAGAGCATATCTGCACGACCGTCTTTATTTTGGAGATCACTCCATGTTTTTAGGCGACGTCAGAAATTTGATGAAATCTCAGTGTGACTTCTGAGTGACTTCACGCTACCCTCGACTTTGCGGCAACTTCCACACTTAATTTACAGATGCAATTTTCAGGTTGAAGAAGAGTCTATGTGAGGATGGTACTGGAATTTAATTGGGGTAAAATGACCGACAGCAGCACCATGGTCGTTCTTTTTCGTGTCACTCATTCCCCTTTAGGCTGCCCCAACATTTCTGGAATCCGGCATCATTTTTAGAATCAAACGGGCGTTTTGGCCTGTGCAGATATGCTCTACTGGGTGCAGAACGGGAGGCCAGCAGCCCTGATCCGCCTTCTCCAGCACAATTATAACACACGGGGGGGCTTTTTAAGGATGAAGCGGCGACAGCGCCTCTCTCCCACACCCCACCACATCTGCATGGCGGTAAATATCCCTCTCATCCCCGTCACCCTCGCTAGCCTTGTGCTCGAAAGCTGCTTCTATGGCATCTTCTTCCTTCTTTCGGCAACCTCTTTCTGGCTCCTCCTCCAACGGGACGTGCCCGGGAAAAGTCTCGCTCGCTCAACTCTTTTGTCACCGTACTTTGCCGGGACTGTAGCCTTGTCCGTGTTCATCACTGGGGTTAGTATCGTGCATCCTTTCCTGGCTCGTACTCACATATGGCTGCGCAGCATTGGGTCATGTTCATCTACCGCGTTTTTCAGGCCTTTATCTACTTCGATAATGGCACATTCCCTTTGGGCTTCCTCGGCAACTTGGGCCATTTCTCAGAAACGCTGAAGAACAGTTTTTTTGTGGCGAATATCGCAACCGGCGATACTCTCATCGTGAGATTTTTTGGGGGGTAGAGTGTAAATCCCCGAACATAATGAGGTTCATCGACTGTGGACAGTATGGGGATTCCACAAGGGCGTGATTGTGTTCCCCGTCTGCACACCACTGGGCTTGCTCGGTGAGTCGTTTCTCGATTCTGTGTTCGCTGATTTATGCGGCACAGAGTCTGCAGCGGCCAACTGGTGTACCAGCTCAGCCAGTTCCGACCTGGCGAGGATATATTTCTCTCAGTTGCGGGCCGTTGGGTTCGGACAGATACAATCCCTACGTTGATGTGCGTGTTTGGTCGTCCTCTCCCTTTGCAAGGTGCAAGGAAATTGATGCCTTCTGCAGAACAAATTCATACTGTAGAGGTTCGTGGCCGGATTACTAGCGTTTTAACAAAGATACTCACGACCGCCCGGTAGCTCTGATCGGCTGGCGTCTCTGGACCGCGAGTAAGGTCGGTGTTCAACCTCATCGAGGAGCAAATATAAAGATGAGGAGCTCCACCCAACCGCGCATCGTCTTGACGCGGCATTCAGCACATCCTATCCATCGTTATCGAAAGTGCCACCCTATACACGTACGCCGCTTCATTCTCTTCGAGCTTGTAACCCAATACTTCGGTTTCTCATTCAGAACTTGGAACCTCATGTTCTTCGTCTCTTACGAGACTCAACGCAACCTCCAGTTCATCTTCATCGACTGCTGGCCGGTGATGACGGGGATCGTTTTCACTCTTATCCATGTTCGTGTGGGCTGGGATGGGATTCAGCGGAGGAGGCAGCCGTCGACCACAGCGTCCAGATCCGTGCCTGGGACCTTGAGCTTCACGGTCGGCATCCCGCCTGCAGCTCAGAAGCACTCGGAGACGGGGACGGAAACGGCCACGCATTGCTCTGATACTCAACTTCAAGATATTCAGCTTTGAAGGACGGCGGACAAGTCTGCTGTTTAATTAGTTCCATCCAATAGAAGAATTTAGCTACTCTTTGTATTTCATTTTCGCAAC